ACTATACACAATGCTGGCGATGGTACGAGTTGGCGGTAAGTGAAACAAAAGCGCTAGAGAAGAAGCTTTTTTTTTTTAATTTTTCTTAAAATTACAAAAATCCAAAATTAAATAAGAAAGAAAAAATCCATCTGCCATCTCACATTAACACTACAAAATGTGATTTGACTTGTTGTCCCCACCCACCTCCTTCCCCCTTCTCCCCCTTTTATTTTCAATGCTGTTGAGTAATGCCGCCTGGACTTTGGATGTACATATCGTTTTGTAGCAGTCTGAGCTGTTTGATTACTGACTTCATGGTGATTTCCCCTTGCACATCTTACTCAGAGTTACTGAACTCCAGTTTGGCTGGTTTTTATTAATGCACCCATTTCCTCCTCTCTCTCTCTCCTGCCCCTTCTTTCTGCTGCTCTCTTTCTGAGACCTGTTTGTAGCTGTTACTGTTTGTTTTCTCTCTTTTTCTTTCTCTCTCTCTCCCCTCCTCCCTGGTTTATTTCTTTACTCTGTTAAATGCAGCTGTTGGTCTCTTTGCTGACTGGTGGTTTCTGATCGGTTCTGGCAATTTTTCCTTTAAGTGCTTGTGTTGCACTTTGCTGTAGCAGCTGATTTCAGGCACTCGCTCCATCTTAATGATTGTCTGTGAGACCCTATCTCCTCCCTCCTCCCCTCCCCACCCTCTGAATCAATTGTGGTTTTTTTTTTCTTTCTTTTATCTGTGTGTGTTTAACTGCATGCTCTCAGTCTCATCATTGTTGTTTCCCATTCTTTCTTTTTAAATGTGTAATGTTTCTATTGTTTTGGGGCTAAAACGAGAGTAAATGTAGCTCCAGACTCTCCACCCTGCGTATGCTCACCATCCATAAGTATCAAGGGCCCAAGGCAGCTTTTATTTTTATATCCTTTTTGGTTTTTTTTTCTTCTTCACCCTGGCCTCAATTCCTATTTGGCATGGGTTTTGATAAATTACTGATGTTGTATAAAGACTTCACCCTCCTTGCAAGAACTTTGAGGCTGTCTGACACGGGGCTGCAGTAACTTGGCTTCCAAACTGGTCCATCTTTTCTTTATCAGCACCATCTCTGTGGTAACACCCCACTTGCTTGAGCAATCAAACCGCTTGGAACTATGCAGAGCTCTGTAAAGAGGGTGGAGGGCACGATAAAACCAAACAAAGACCCAGGTCTACATCTATATATTTCTTCTTTTTGCTCCCTGCAATTTGCAACAAGGGGGGGGAAAAAATCTGGAAAAAGATTTGAAAATGATGGGGAGGAAATTGGAGACCGTAGACCATCCAAATGCTTGGTGGCATTCCAGAAATCTTCTCAAGCCTTGGGAGTTCTAAAGCTCCAAGCTACCTTTTTCTATCTAAAAAGTATGCCTGCCAGCAACCTGCTGGGCCACAATCCCAACGGTGAGCTTGAGAAACAAGTCAGCTTGTGCATCACCTGGTTCAGTTCCCCGGCCCTGTGCTGCAGAAATTATCACAGCTCTCGAACAGAACCTGGGAAACCCTTTCAATCAACAAGCTGAAAATAAGCATACGCCAAGGGGTGGGAGGGCGGCAGAGAATCTGCACTTTACTCTCGTTGGCCTTTTGTTTAATGCATAATTTTAAAGTGCCACGTTTAGCTGTAACTTTTATAATTAAATGGCAACTGTTAAAAGTAATTTAAAGATTGCATTCTTGTAAAATTAGTTGTTTAATTTTTTTTGCTCAGAGAAGTAGTGTGTGTGTGTGTGTGTGTGGTATCTGAGTTTTCCACCGTTTTCCCTAATGTCCTATGCTTCCTTCCCTCTCCTCCCCTTCCCCTTTCTTACTTTTAGGTTAACAACGCTACTGCGCGAGTGATGACCAATAAGAAGATGGTCACACCTTATGCAAATGGTAAGAGAGACTGTTTGTGCTAATGATAAGCTGAAACATTTGAAGAAAGAAAAAAGGGAAAAGTCATGACCTCTCCTCAGGACCAAAAAAACCACCAAACCTCAAAAGAAACCAACAAAACCCCACAAACCCTAATTCATAGCATTATTCTTCAGTATAACCCTCAAGTGTTTATGGAGGAATACCATTTTACGGATGGAGAAGTGGGGACAGAGAGGAGTAGTGACATGCCCAACGTGGCCAAGCTGGTAAAGAAACCAAGGACTGATGGGTTGCCCGCCACTACTGCAAGCGGATGCTGTACAGTGGGATATGCAGTACTTCTGAGCCTTACTGCTATCACGTAGATACCTAAATATGAATGCAAAAGCATAATTTAGGATACATAATTGGATATATCTCAGTTTCGGTTCTAACTGTAAAAGTACAGCTGTCCCCAAGGAGCCTGGAAAATGGGAGGCATTGCGCTGCTTGTTTGCTCACTTTTTGTTACAGACTGTGCCTGTGTTCAGTCATTTTCCAGTGAACCTGAATAGAGAAAGACCAAGTTGTTTGGGTAATGAAGAATCCTGTTTCATCGGGATATCTTGGTTCTTCTGTCTGTGCAGTAATTTTATTGCATAGGCATATATAGCATAAAAAGTCGTTGTTCTCCTGCAGAACTGAATGTTGCTTTGATGGATTTTGAATCTGAGCCTTTGTCCTGGCAGAAAAATTCTTTTTGGTCTGAAAATGTTCCCAAACAGCTTCAACAAGCAAGCAAGCTCTATATAGGTAGTTGCTAGTATGAGAATCTGTTCTAATTACAACATAAGACTCAGAAGTCAGAAGATACAAATTTTATTTGTGGCTCTGCTACTGACTTACTGCATGTCTCTTGGCATATATATCTTATTTTGGTTAGAGAACTGGGGAAACAGGGGCAGGCAGAAAGGCTGGGATTCTAAGTCTCAGTGTCTTAAAGGAACCAGGAAATTTTGTAGTAAAAGGTAATGCAGCCATGTTATGTTGTCCTGAAAGCAAGAGCAGAAACTGTGTATGACTTTGGTGACAAAACTTGGCTTGCATAGCTATGACTTGTGAAACCCTGATAACAGGCAGGAATATTTTACTTTCGCAGCTGGCAATTTAAAGCTAGCTTTAAAGCTATGCAAAGGTATTCGGTATTAGGCCAGGCTTAAGGCATACCGACAAGTTGTCGTACAAGCATTTTCAAATTTAAGGGTTGATCCCGGTCCCCTCATTGCCACCACTCATCTGAGTATTTTGCTGTCAAGGTGGGCAGCACAGGGGCAGCGTGCCCAGTCTTGCGGAGGGAGCGTGCCATGCATCTCTCATTGATGCTCTGTCAGCAGACTTCATCTGGCGTTGATGGGCTGCAGTTCACAAAGTTGTTCATACGGTTTCTGGGCTGGTTAGAGGTGTTAAAGCGCAGCAAGTGTGTCAGGACTCCCAAGAGAGAGGAAGGGTATGGATTTATTTAAATAAAAATAGCTGTGTGATTGCTAGCTGAACAGCTGACATTTTCCCTGAAAGGAATGCCTTGTGGAAGCCAGGCCAGATCATGATGCTTTACACCCCTTGTTTCTCTCCCCAGATAGGAAGGGGGGTGTGTGTGTGGGAAGACAGATATGTTTCTAGATCTGACCCAGTGGTGACTTCTTGAAGCGCTTCTCTTGTAGGTTTTATGTTGATTTGCAGTTCTTGCTAATTATCCAGATGATAATAAAATAAATTCTCTGGGAAGGCTTTCATCCTGAAAAGCAGCATAAAGATGACAGGAAATACTAAAATAACACAGAGAGGAGAAAATGTGAGATGAATAGACTGAATTGCTTTTCTGTGCCATAGTTGTGTGATTCGGTTAGCGAGGAGATTCAGACACTGTTGCTTTTTAGCAGATCTCTAGCAAATAAGACAGAAGGGTGTTTTGATAATTTAAGGCTCTATATTAATTTGGCTGGGATGATGGTCTGGGCCAGCGGCTTTAGAGAGCTTTTGGATCCGCGGCATTCCCGGTGAAAGCAGGGAGGAGCTGGCAGCAAGGTTCATGCAGAGAACGCAGGGTCGCACGCTGCTCGTGGTGAATACTCATATAAGGTAGTTGGCATTCCCTCAGCGGTGCCTCTGCCGTGCTGCGGATCAGCTGATGTTTTGCTGTTCCCTCTGATACAGCCACCTGTACCTAGAACTTGACATTAGAAAAAGGCAGTTGGCCTCCATCTACACCAAGGGGGTTGAGGCGAAGCAGAAATTGGAAAGAGCTGTGCATGTGAAGCTGGGGTGCACGCAAGAGGCTGTTCCCCCTACCCACACTGCCCGCTCCTTCTCTTGGTGTAGATTTTGGCATTCACTGCAGTCTTTGTTGTTTCAGGTTGGAAGTTGAGTCCTGTGGTTGGAGCGGTGTACGGCCCTGAGTTATATGCAGGTAGAGCTTAAGTAGACACTTCCACTTCTGCCATTTAACTGCAGTGGTGTTTGTTTATGTTCTCAATCTGCTGTTTCTTTATAACCTTTTTACATTTTTTTTGTTTTTGTTTTTATTGTTTTTAAAATTAAATTAGCGTCCAGCTTTCAAGCAGATGTCTCGCTGGGCAATGACGCCGCAGTGCCCCTGTCAGGAAGGGGGGGTATTAACACTTACATTCCTTTAATCAGTAAGTAGCCCCCATTGGCCCCTATATTGTTACCATGCTTGAGTTAATGATGACCTGTTACCCTTCTTCTCTCCAGTCTGTATAATATATACTTGAAAGGATGGGTCTCGCTGGGAATGAGTTTACCTCGAGCCAAAGTATACTGTGCAGTGGCTGTAACTTGTTCATCTGCAGTGTGTTCCTGTATTGGTGAATGGGTCTTTCTGAGCGATGAGGAGGCTGCAGAACAAGGGGAGGGTGTATGTGAGGAATAGACCATTCCCTTCCCCCCCCCCCCTTTTGAAATCAAACCAAACAGACAAATCCCTAAAGTACATATTATACAAGCTGCTAAACCGCGAGTCTGCAGAGCCCCTAGTGGCATGCACCTGGATGCACGTTGGGTTGGATTTGTGCCCTGGGACTCCTTCCCTCTGGGTATCTGTTTATTACGTGTTTGCAGATGCCTCTGAGGTTTTACATCATATCATCATGAGCCAGTTTACTCCAGCGTAAAGCATAATAAAGCAGGCCCCACTATACATGGAGCCATTTGTTGGTCATGCTTGTTAAATGAAGGTGGGCTCTCAGTAAACTGGCACTTTATGGGAAATTTCTACTGCTGTTATATGGGCTATCTTGTCTTTCAGGCTTTAAAATGAACATACAGAGGATTGGGTGGCAAAGAGTGGGAGGGGAAAGGAGGGAAGAGACTGATGTAAGTTGGTTGACTTTAAGGGCCTCTTGACAAATTATTTTAAAGAGCCTCTGCAGTTTTGGAAGAGCCGCCTGCTATATTGATAGTAACTCTCTGCGCTTCTCGGACTCTAACCAGACTGCATGGCGGTGTCAAAAGGCGGGGGGATTTGTACCCTGTTTGTGGTGGGTGAGGCATGCCAAAGCATTAACCTCTTGCATGCCAAACCTCTCTGCAACCCCTCTTCCCCCAAAGGCCATGGTGTAGCAGGAAAGTATGTATGGGATGCTTGCTGGGTTATAAGCATGCCCTTCTGCAGGATTGATGCAAAATGTCCCACCGCTGTGGAGCTCTTGTGTCACTTTGTTTGAAGCAGGCGGTTTTCTCTGGGCAGGAGCTCAGATCCTTTTCACCCTCCACCTTGTCTGTCTTTACAGTTCCAGGCTTCCCCTATCCAACTGCAGCCACCACAGCAGCCGCGTTTCGGGGAGCCCATCTGAGGGGCCGAGGAAGGACAGTGTATGGGGCAGTCCGGGCAGTACCTCCCACAGCCATCCCTGCCTACCCAGGGTAAGCATTGGTCATGACAGCAGAGTGCTCTGCACAAATGTGTCAAATAGCTGATTGGTTAACCAAAAAATAACTAAAATTGTCTGGATGGTGAGAGTCAGGATATTGCTAGTGCCAGAGCATTCTGCACACAATGGCATCCAGTGGGGGCAAATCTAAATTTTCCCACATTAAGTTCTTGACTGAAACAATTTTCAGTACTTGCAGCAGCTTAAAGCGCTGATGGATTCCTTCTCACAATTTCTCAATTTGTCCGTGTGTCATCCATTCACCCGATATGTTATAGCGCTGCTGAGAAGGACGCAAAGAGAGAAGGTCTAAAATTTCCGAAAAGGTTCTGCTCTTTGCACTCCATTTGTGTTTTCGTATCCAGGAATGAGGAGTATTATCCATTACCATCATGCCTCACCATCTGGCAGTAGGACACAGAAGAGCCATTTACCCACAATGGATTTGCTTTCTTTGTTGGAGACGGTTTAAAAAGGTTTAAAACAAAGATTAATCAAGTCCATTAATTTATAAAGTTGGGAGCATTTGGGATATAGGGAGAACGAAAGTGCAGCATTCCTCTGACTGTTGTATGAAGCAATGGTGAATGCATGGCCTTAGCATTCTTTGCCCTCTGACTTTTCACTAGTAATGCAGTGGAATAGATGCTGTTACAAAAGAGTATTCTGCTGTTGAAAAGTACAGGGAACTAGGTTTGTATGTGAGTTTCGTTTGTTTTTTGTTTGTTTAAGTGTGATGAAATGGCAGATAATTCAGCAAATCCCTTCCCAACTGTCTTTTTTTGTTTCTGATTTTTGAGGATGCTTTATTCATATTGCCTGTCTGGATTTTTACTTGCCATATTTTCTAGGCAACGTTCTCAGAAAGAATAGGAGTAGTAATTAATCCTCCAACACAGAGAAGTGGATTCAACATTTTTTCCTCTAAACTAGCCCCAAAAGAGAAGAAAATAAATTGTAAATCTTTTCTTAAAAAGGGAGGTGGAAGCCACACATATCAGTGTGAGGAGCTGGCCTGATAGATGCTGAATAAGCTTGCAATACCTCCTGTTGTAGCAGATTAAGTGGTGAGAGCTACTGTGGCCCTTTCTTTTTAGAGTTCAGTCTGATATTTAAAGTGGAGCTCAAGGAGGCAAGCTGCAGTCGTCATGTATCTGTCTAGCTTTGCTCTCCGGCAAATCTGGTAATGTTTGTATTTAATTCACTGGAAGACTTTAAATGAAACCTCTTGTCTGAACACGTTGGCCTCCAAACAGAGTGTTTCTTCTGGGTTTTCAGATCCACTGCTTTTTGCCATCGCTCCTAGTTGATAGTCTGTATCCTCTAACCATAGCCTCTGACCTGCAACTTGTCGGTCTGTTGCTCTAAAAATGACCCAGTCTGGTTTTATTAGGAAATGCTCCACAGTGAAACAGAAGCAAAGCTGAGCTGAGTGCTGCCGTCTAGCAGAATATGAAATACTTGCACTGGGAAGGAGGGATGTGCTCTTCATCCCTGGGAGTAACGGCTGGAGCATTCCTAGCAAGAGGCTGTCACGAGTGGTGCGCTGGGAGGGACTCTAGGCTTGTCTTTGATATAAATCCAGCCTGAGTCCCATATAAAGGATTTATTTCCATTTGGAATATGGGCCGGGCTCCAATGATTATTCCTTCCAAATACTGTCTCATGACTGTGTTTACTTACATTACATTGGGTTTGTCTGACCCTGCTGACTGATTTTATGTCTTCATGGGCAACGCACTATCCAGTAAACATCTGCAGGGCAGCAGTAAATGAGGCAGGTTCACAAATGGCCCACAACTGTCCCTAGTCCCAAGCGCTGGGAGGGCATAATGAACTAATTCTGGTGTTTACCGTTGTCATAGACTGAATCTCTACAAGACATTCACTAGAGGGAATTTGATTCCTCATGGAATAATACAAAATGTGCAGTTCAGTTCCATGTTGCAGTAATCTGTAGGACAGCCACCGCTCCACGTGGAGACTATTGACCTCCATGGAGTCAGGAGCAGGTACACATTCCTGACACCTAATCCTGCATCAGTTGCTTTCTTCCTGGCCAGTGGAAAGATGACACTGTAAGATCAGTCAGCAACGCATGAGTAATCAAGCCATAGTGAGTAATGTGGAAGAACACAGTAAAGAAAGATGCAGATTAACTCAAACCTGGTAGGAGGAATTGGTTTTCATAAACCTCAGTGATGTTTCAGTTACAAAACTTAATGGTATCACTGCATTTGAGAGCTTAGCAGAATTCAAAAAATACAGAATGTAGATTAATAAAAGCTTGTTGGAATTGCCATACTGGATCAGACCTGAATGCTGTTTAGGTTAGAGTAATTTTTGACAGTGCCTAGTGCTAGATACTCCAGAGGAAGGTGCAAGAAATCTTACCATTCTTAATAGTTTTAACATTTATTTCGAGAACTCAAACTAAGATTTACTAATGCATATATGGAATGCACATACTTACATATGGACATGGATATTTATCCAGGGAAGGTTATTGGTACCTTAGAAAGCAATTGCTCAGACCATTGGAGAGGATGTTAGATAGTCACCTGTGCCTGACCTCAGAATACAAATGCAATCTTCAATTTATCACTGAGGTGGCATCCAATAGAAGTAAGGAGACGTTACAACCTCTGATACATAGCGCGAGTAAAACCTGTACTAGAATATTGCCCTGATTCGTAGCGGCTGTGCTTTCTAAACAAGAATGCTGACAAATTACACTTCAGACCAAAAGCTGTTAAGAATTAAGTCAAAGTCTGAAAAAACCCTTGCATACTGTAAAATTCTCAAAACTAAATAACCTTGATAAATTTTATTTCTCAAACTGTAGGTTAGGCTTTCATTTGTTCATGGTCATTAAGTAGTATCTATATGAAGAGTAGGCTTGCCATAGTAAAGAATAATTTAGTTAGGAGTGTAAATATATAGAGGATTCACTGACTTGAAGCCAAAAGTAGATAAAAATCAGACTAGACATGAGGCAGTAGGGAGCTTTGGGGGTTTGGAGTGGGGTTATTTTGTTCCTTTTACAACAAACTCAACTGTCGGTACATCTAAAAAATATGATGGCTGCTTTACAAAACCAGCGTATTTCTTTTTCTCGTGAATGTGTTTAAGCTCAGGTAGTGGGATTTTTGTAAATGCCACTGAGATTTGATGGGCTGCTGGGCTGCTTTATGCTTCTGGTCAGTCTGCATAACCAGAATAGTGCCTGTGGTTCTCAAATGAAGGAATCCTCTCAGTTTTTGCAAGCATTAAGAATCAGAAATATGGATATTCTAGCATACAAATAAACCTTGCTAACTTTCAACCCTGGCAGTTGATGTCAGTCAAGTCCTAACTGAAAGAGATCAGAGGATGCATGTGTGCTTGGTTGTTTGGACTCAGGAAGTCTTGCTCTTACCTGTTACTAGTGTTCCTTGCAGTTTTCTCTGGAGAGCTGATGCCAGCATCTCTTGCTGACGGGACTCTAAGGTACAGGAATAGTGGCCTGATCCAATGTGGTAATGCTTATATTCATCCAACTGATTGTGTTTGGAATAACTGTTAAAACTGCTAACCTGTTCATAAACCAACAGTCACTTCCTCTGTCGTGCGTTTGCCTTTCCTGCAGGAGCAGGTGGAGTATCACTGCTAAAACACTCCTGGTCCTAGATAGAGAACCCAGCAATGTAAGTCACTGCCCCAGGAGCCAAATTCTTTGTTATGTGATTGTAAAAATTTAGCTTCGACAAACATGATCTTATGGCCTGCTTCTCCCTGCTGAAGTGGCTCCCCTCTTCCTCTAACAAGGGTCTCTATCTTCATATCTGCTCCCAAAGCTCTTGGAGACCATAGTAACTCTGTCTATTGGGAATGGAGTGTACTTTTTCTGGGGAAGACAGCAAGACTAAATTATTCAAGCAGTAGCTAACACTGCAACAGATTTTTTTTTTTTTTAATTTATTTTATTTTTTTAGTAATAGCATGCAGAATTTTGGCAAGATCTGCTGGGCTTTTTTTGTGTGTGCGTGCCTTACAATAGGTGGGTGTCTGAGGGTGGCAGGCTCTTGGCAACGTTTCACATTCCATCTGATGAGTAAAAAATGATAATCGAAAGAAAAGCTAGTATTCCATGCCTTCTTTATCCTTAATGCTACTGGTAAGTCATGCACGTCAGCTCCATGAACATCACAGATGGTGGGGCTAATGCTTTTTAAAGCCTTGAGCGAGTTTGTGCGGAGCTATTCAGAGGACAAAGCAGGAGGAAATTCCTCAGTACGAAGCACACACTGAACTCAAACGGGTGGGGGGCATCCCCTCTCTTCCTTCCTCATCCTTCCCCGACCCCTGTCCCAGAAGCGAGCTGCATAGTCTTACGCTAGTGAATGCTCTGGTAAGAGTGGCTCTTTGGGAACCCCAGCTCTGGTTTAACAGTTTTCCTGCTTGAAGTTCTGAGAGAAAGAAAACTATAGCTTAAAGCAGCAAAAGCACCAGCCCATGGAAACCCTTCCAGTTGCTCCTCTCTGCTACGGAATAGGTCGTTACTACCAGGGACTCCCACTGCACCTTTCAATTCTTGGACCAGTCACCTAACCTTTTTAGCTCATTATCTCTGCTTGTGAAAGCAATGCATTGTGGGTATTTTTGGTTTTTTCTTTTTAATTACATTTCTCTGTGTTTACTTTGATCAGAATTGATTGACTTGTTTTCCTGAGGTGTTGCATTGGTTCTTTAAGATGCTGAATAATAATACTTTGCATGCTTGTGTGATCAGCCAAATCTTATCGCATGTCTAATGTGCAGGGTAAAAGCAGGTGATGTATGGATGTCAGAAACAAAGTCATGCAGGCCTGTGAAGCTCGAAATACGTAATCACACACAACTCTGAAACGTGCTTCTGACATAGGTGACTCCAGCCCCTGTGGGATACCTTCTGAGGGGCTCCTCGATTTCACAAGCCCACTTCATGAAGCCAATGTTTCCATGTGTTTAGGGGGTAACTAAAACCATTCCAGGAGAATAACCAGAGCGGAGGTTTCTAAAACCTTGTTTCTCTTCTTCAGGACATCAGATCTTTTTCAGTCTATTTTTATTGTACAAGATGGTGGTTCCCCTCCCTCTCTCCTTTGCATACTGTCTCCCCCTCTGCCCGCCCCTTCCCCCTTTGCATGCCATGGAAGATGACTTGGAGCCGTCTAGCGTGCGTGCGCACACACATTCTCTTGCTGATTTGCTCCTGCCAAAAGCCCAGGTTGTGGATTCATACATCACCTGCCTGTGTAAAACGCATGTGCATGCTGCCGTCCTCAATAACCGGAATGTGTTTTCTGTTCTTTTGTTTTTTGTTTTTTGTTTTTTTTTTGTTTTTGTGTGGATTTTCTGCAGTGTGGTTTACCAGGACGGATTTTACGGTGCTGACCTCTATGTAAGTACACACACCGGAGCCTTCTCGTCCCCAACCCCTGACAAGCCAGCCTTTTTTTTTTTTTTCTTTTGGTTTGTTTGTTTGGTTTGGTTTGTTTTTTTAAAATATCATTTACTTTAATTTTCTTCTTCCTTGTGGATATATATATTTATATATTTAGGAATGCAAGCATGCTTCTCTGTCACTGCGCTTGCCCCTGGGTGCAAGACCTAAGCCTTTGGGTTTCCTGATCATTGCCAGGGTCAGTTTACTGGGTGTCCTGTCCCCCACATGCACACTGCTACTAATCAACCTGAGAAATGATTAGCGAATTAAAATTTCTCTCAACACTTCTCTTGTTTACATAATTTGGATATAAAAATAACAGGACTGGTTTAGCCTCAGACCTTCCCTTTCCTTCTCCCCCTCCGCCCTCCCCTTTCTCTCCCCTCTTGGGGCCCTTTCAGGTTTGATTTGTGCAGCCCACACTAAACTGAGCGAGCTGTATGTTTAAAAATGTTCATGTGCCACTGGGATGTGTAGATTATCCCTTTGGGGAAGACACTGGGACTGATTAAAAATGGAGACCGAGATGCTAGAGTGAAAACTGACATCTCATTTTGCTGGTAGAAATGGTACCTAAATAGGCTAGATTCTCTTGCCTCTTTGGGGAATTGTAAAGTACAAATATGTGGAGATGTTCAGTTAGAAGAGTCAGCAGCCTCCTCCTGACTGGGAATTAGCTCTGATATCAGAGGGGGGACTTTGTCCTGTCATTGTCTTTGTCCTACCCAGCCAGTTTGTATTGCAAATCTCCAGGACATCTGTGTGTATGTAGGTAGGTGGTGGATGGAGGGATTCTGACTGGCCCATGAGAAAAGCAGTTTCCTCTCCGATGGAGACCTGTTGCAGAGCAGTTATGATAGGAATGCCTTTCAAAGCCAAAATGTTCAGGTCCACTACTGCCATTGCAACTTGGGGCCTGCCTACCTACCTCTAGCAGAGTTCCCTTTCGTGGTATTGTAGGTACTAGCTCTTTGGAGCTGGGGAAGTTTTGTATTGGGAAGTGGCACGGTTGTCAGCATACTTTTCACATCCCTGCTCCTTTGAAGGTGCTACTCCTGACAGTTATAAAGAGGACCCTGGGGTTAGACTCAAGATAATAGATGGAATTACCTTTTGGATTTTATCAGCTCATATGGAGGGTAAAGTCTTGTAAAGGCACTTTTCCCAACACAGTTACAGCAGTTGGAAGATGTGTTCTCTGAGCATAGAGATAGTGGATGCATTTCTTCATTCCCACATAGCTATTGTGTGCAGTCCTTTTAAAAATTGATCTGCCTAGTCAAGTGTTCCTTTATAAAACTGTGTCAAGAACTATGGAGGGTTCTGGGTTTTCCCGCCTCGCTCCTAAAACACAAGTTTTACAGTCCACTGACTTTGCTGCTGCAAGTAAGCAAGCAAATGAGCAATGCTTAGTGCCTCTTCCCTCAAGAGTATGGCATATAAGAGGCTGTCATGTTGCAAGGGAAGACTGGCCAGGGTTCTTACTCCCTATTTATTTTGACAAAGCTCCTTCAGAGCTTCCATTGCAGCTGGGGAGGAGGGGTTTATTTAACATGTTTTAAGGACAGAGACTTCAGTAATGAAGAATCCCTGTAACCACTTGGTGCTGCAGTGCAGTAGCATCACATAACACAAAAACAAGTCCCCGAGTCAGGTTAGAACTGTTAAGTGGATTTCTGATGACTTGGCTGTTGGTGACTTTGGTCTCACTGTCAGAAAGCAGGACGACAGAAGAGGGGATTTGTCAAGGTAGATGGTGGTGCTTTTTCCTATGTTATTGCTGCCCAGAGCCCTCTGATGGAGCTCAGGAAAAAATTATCATAATCCAAATAAGACATTACCCTTCCAAACAATTTGCTTGGCACAAGTGGAATGATTCTGGTGTCCCTGTGCCCCACTGATTTGTCGTGCTTTTCCCTGCAGTGCTTACGTCCCTCTGGTTGCTGTGGAAGGCTTGTCCATATTATGGAAGGGAAGCAGTTATAACTGGGGGGGAAGTTAAATTGAGATTCCCTTAGGTTCTCTTAGTCCATAAGGTTGTGTCAGGGAAGGGTGAAAAGGAGCTGAGCTGGCAGGGAGTGGTTAGTGGTAGGCAAGGTGAAGTGTCCCAAGTTTGGGCTGCTGTTTCTGCATACATGTTATGCACCAATTTTTCATTTTCCTCCTCCTCCTCTTCCTCACTCCTTTTTTCTTTCCTGGGGCAACCATCCTGCTAGCCATTTCTTCTGTGAAGAAGGCATTCCATCTCTTGTTGGATGCATCCCACTCTGGCAAGACACCTGAATTCATAAAACAACCTGCCCCAGGATGCACAGGGCTTCATTTCGGATCATAAGAAAGGTTATCTTTCTTCTACAATGGGGTCAATCTGGGCGGCGGGGGGAAACCCAAACAAACCCACCTGTGTGAAGACTGCTCCTGCCTGTGAAAAGCGTGCTTGCATCCACTGGAAAGAAAAGGCTGGTGAGCCCCGCTGCGGGCTGTTTGTATGATTGTTTCTTTCCACAGCTGTGTTTTTTTGAACTGCTCTTCCTGTGTTCTGTTATAGAATAGTCTTACAGGAACCAATCATTAGCGCTAAAATACCTCAGGTAGGAGTGCCAGTGTGACCTGCCAACCGATCAGATTGTGGATTGCAGTGGAAAAAACTGAATTATACTAACCATTCCAGCACCACATTAGAGATGGGAACAGAGGCTTTTTTAGGGCAGCGCAGACTCACGTGTGATCCAAGCCCCTGCTATGGCAGGGTGGCGCGTGTCCAGATTTCACACCAAGTGGCATTTCATTAAAAAAAAAAAAATAATATCAATTCAATGGAAGGGTTAACAAGGTCATGCTTGTCCCATTACCATGTAGAAGCACCTGCTGCAATGGACACCGTTGTCCTGTCACCTCTTTTAATTCATTCATGCTCATTCCTGGTGCACGTATGCCACCCTTCTAATATAGAAATACTGGAAACGGTTCTAGCCCTTTCTGCTTCTTAACTTCTGTTATAGGGCAGTTTGGGGGTGGAGAAGACACATTTGAGATACGACAAATAAAAGATCCTAAAATTGGGCTCACTGCCTAAACCTGGCAGGTGTTCAAACCTATTTAACTGGTACCATGTGTTACACATTTCTCCAGGGGTATGGGAATGCTTGTGTCTTACTGGCATAAAGGCTCTTTGGAGTAAAGAGGGCCAGCAACACACTTTGTGCTCCCATCTAAGGCAGCAAGGGAAAAAGAAAAGGGAGGCTTACACTATAGGACATAGTAAGCTGTAGTTTTGGATTTCCTCACGTTCTTGTTGGAAGGATCAACTAATATGGACCTGAAGAGTGGAAGAGAAGATGGACTTCTTTTGAGCTGAACTGTATAGTCTTAAAGTGCTCGTTTATCTACATTAACATGCTCAGTAATTGGAACGCTGCTTTAGTTGGGATTGCAGCTTCCTGTCTATGTTGTTTTGCCGTGTTTGTGTTATTTCAGAGGATATATGACAATATTGAAAAAGCTATCATTTAATGTTAAAGAAGGAATTTAAAAAAATATTTTCTTGCTTTGTGGATGAGCCAAGGATGATAACATTTTAAGTTTGGGCTTTTGTGAATACCTGAGCAAATACGGTTGTTTGACAATTGAGATCTATAGGCTCAAGTGCTACACATTCACATGGGGAAAGCGGTTTAGCACAGCCCCAGCAACACTGGCAGGATATCTAGAGAAAGGGAACTTGAATTAAGATAAGCAACACTTAGGGTTGTGTTCGTATCTCTCGTATGCTCCCCAGACAATCCAAAAGACTGTGCTGGAAAGGACCAATCTTGATTTAGACAGTCCTTTTGATTCTTACTGCCTAGTAGAAATGCATACATAAGCCTTTTCTTTAGTTCCCCTATTTCTTTGTCAAGACAGTGTTTACGCTGTCCCTTTGATAAAAATGTCTCTAACTTAACATCTTCACAAGAGGCTCAGCTGCACTTGTTTCTTTTGAGATGAGGCTAAAGATTTTAAAAATTGAACCTAGATGGGTAAACCTGTTCCTGTGGAATCACTTCAGTTACATAGATGGAGTGGGAGTTTGTGTGGTTGTCCCTGGTTTCAGGGACTACACCACTCAATGGTGTCTTCCGTTGCAGTTTAGCTGTGGTACTGGAGGAGTGTGGTGCAGCTAGCAAGGGCCTGTTTTTTTTCTTTTCTTTTTTTAATTGTTATTTCTTTTATTGGGAAACACGATTGTTCACGTTTGATGAAGATGCTGTACTCTGTTGTAGTTTATATTTACTAGAGTACCCGAAGTGAGTGGCATCAGAAATCACTAGAGGTGGTAGGACCACGTAGCTGAGGTTACGGATGAGCTCTGCATACCAGTTAAAGTTGTGTGCGGACAGGAATAGCAGGAGAAAATAACTGGTGCATTGGACAAGCTGAGCAGGGCTTTAGGTGCATTGATGGAATTATAGGTGGATCCTGGGTTATTGAGAACTGGAGCATCAGCTGGGTAAGGTGACCTGCACGGTGTCTCCTTTGCTCTGTACTGGTCCCAGAGCTTGGTGAAAGCATTTATGAAATAATGAGTAATAGTCACAACTTTCCTCCTCTTTTCTTCACCCTGTTTTGGTGTATTTGGACCTGCTGGTCATGCTAAATACATCCCCGTGTCAGAAATCCCCCAGCTGTCCACACTCATTGCTCCTATGACAGGAACGTACCATGGCCATTATAATCCCCATTTTTTGGTTTTATTTGGAGTACACGCAAGTAGAATTTGCAGACCCCTTTGAACTGAGCGGGTCTGCCCGTGCGTGTGTACCTCTCTCCTGTGACTTTTTTCTTCTTTTTTTTTTTTTTTTTAAATTAACAGTAGCTTCAATTTTGCATCAGTGCATGGTTAAAAAAGCAATACACATGTCAGCTATTTCTTAACTTCATTTCTCCAATGAATTTTCTCCTGTTTTTTTTGTTTGTTGTGCAGTTGACTGAAGAAATGTTAACATCCCGCTCTAAATCTCTCAGTGGAGTCTCTGTTCCCTTCTCTGATATAACAGATGGGTTATTGCTTGTTATAATTATTAACATTGTGGTGTGGGACAGGGCTAGGGTGGGAGCCATTTCGGGGGCGAGGGCGGGAGGCTGCGGGAGTCGTTAAGGTTGGAATGTTAACTCCAGTGGTGACTGACTGTTTCCGTAATAGCAGGTTGTTGTGGCTGCACGCTCTAGTACTTGAGGCTGTGTACTTCACTGAGCTTGTGGTAGAGCCTAGGGCGAACTGCTGTCCCAAGAGAATGCTGGGATGGATAGAACTAGCCAATATGAGTCTGAACGTGGTGACTTTGCTGGTTGTTCTAGCTCCAGATGTCAGCATGCTTAGTTTTTAATTTTGATTAATAAATGTTACGCCATTCCCCCTTCCACACCTGATTCCAACCCTTCTTTTCTTTTCTTCTTTTTTTTTTTTTTTTTTTGCTTTTGGTTTGGTTTGGTTTCATTTTCCTTTACAAGAGACATGAGTTAAAAGAGAATTACATGATAACCCTTTTTGGTTTCAAACTGCATCTCGCTGTCATGTTCAGAGTACGTGCCAGGCACATTCGAAATGGATTCTGATCTGAAATGTGGCTGGCAAGCGTGGGGCAGAGTGGGAATCTGGGTGGACACTGAAGCTGGCTGCCCCGAGGAGGGTTGTGCCTCGTGCGCCGTGCCCAAGCAACAGACCTGATCAAGAGTTTAGGAAGCTCATGAACTTCAGGGAGTACCACAGGGACATTGGTATGAAGTTTTGTCTTAACTTAGTGAGGTCACTGGAGGTTTGATTTGGATTAAGGCTGCACCTCATTCCTCTCATCTCTGTTGTGTTTTGGTGGTGGGAGTAATGGTGGTGCAACGATAGCATGCCAAAAACGAGCTAAACCTCCCCAGACCATCAAGCCAAAATACAGGCATTGAAACAGCTAGATGAGATTATAAAATGGCAAAACTGTAACACGACATCTCTTGTAGGCAACGTGGTGATGTTTCAGAGGTGTGGATCTGTGTTACTCTTTCTTTTGTTAACTAGAAGATTGAAGAGGCTGCAAGTCCCCCTCCTCCAGAGTAGGAGAGTGTCCCCAGGTGTGTTTTAGGTAGAATGTTAGCCTTCGTGGGGCTAACGCAGGTCCCACAAAAGCAACCAAAATTAATTTAAAATCATTACTTCTAATTTAAAAGCTACCTAGCCCAAAACTGAGCACTGCTGAGCAAACATGCAGTCCTGTAGTAGAGCTGATCTTGTACTCTTAGATATATGCAAAAGATCTATAGGGAAGAAGTGGTAGAGGTATGTTGAGCTGATTCTGGAGGTGAAGAGCATAAGTCTGCCTTCTGGTTCTTCAAACTCTGAAATGTCAATTGAAAAAAAAAAAAAAAGCAACAACCAAAAAAACCCCAAAAACCCTAAACTAAAACCAAGCAAAAAACACAAAAAACCAGAAGCAATCTGGAATTTTCTGATGTTATTTATGGCTCATTGTGTTTCTAGCAAATCGAAGCCACAGTTCATTTACCATTGCCCTCTCAAGTTAACAAAAATATGTTAAGAAACATACAATAAAGAAAGATCTAACCTGGGCTTCAGAGCCCTCTTTGCTGCCTGCCCCTCAGCCTTTGCCCCAGTCTGAAAGGTGGCTGGCCTCTGTCCTTTGTTACTGCAGGGTGTGCAGAGCTGCCTGTCTGTGCCAGGTCTTCCTCTGCACCAAAAGCTCCTTGTGGGAGGTCCAAGAGGAGACTCGCAGGCCTTCCTCTGGGTCGGGATTCACATTTTGCCAACTCAGCTGTAAGCATGTTTTTAGTAATTGCCTCTTGTCAGTGTAAGGATTTTAAAGACCTTTACTACAGGTGTGTAGCATGGGCAGAAATGCAGCAGCAATACAGACTGTTCTGGCATAATTTCCCCCAACTTGTTTCCTTCTTACGTGGAGGGAGGGGAGAATGGTCTGGTTGGTATCAACGTCAGTTAGCTTGTGGCCAGCCCTGACACCATCTTTTCCTGATTGCTTTTTGGCTTCTCGGGCTATTTATACTTCTACGCATCTGGACCAAATGAAATTTTAGCCTTTTGGGTTTCCCAGGCTTAAAAAAAGAGAGGGAAAAAACCCAGGAATTTATCTGAATGGTCCCCTTTCTAAAATACTTCAGAAAGCTCCCGCTTCTGATTTCCCCAGTGTAAAAGCAAGGGGACATAAAAACTACATTGTGTGCAAGATTTCAGCTCTCTTCTGGTTTTCAATTCCTCCATGCCAAATTTAATTTCTTGCAGGGATATAACCATGCTCAGGCTTGCTTTAGTTTATTCCTTCTGCTAAACAGGGTAATGGAAGTGTCTCCTTGGTCCTTCTGAGGAAAGGAATATACATGAGTTAATGGGCGATGCTTGCGATAGACATGACATGGGAGCTGATGCAGTTTGAAACACTTCCTCTCCTTGTGATGTGTGTGACTTTTTTTCATTTTTTTATTTTTTACACTCTGCGTGGGTGGACAGGTATCTGTAAAGTCAGTTCTCTTCTCTCCTGCAGGGTGGATACGCAGCCTACAGATATGCACAGCCTGCTACTGCAACAGCAGCCACAGCCGCTGCAGCCGCTGCAGCAGCTTACAGCGATGGGTATGTAAGGGGGAGGTGTCCATGGGGGCTAGCTTGCTGTGCTCAGGGATTCAAGGAGCATTGATCCATTACAGTACTTCTACTTCTTTCCCTGTTTCTTTGTCTTACTTGCACTTGCACGCGTGCACATGCATGCACGACCCAACATGAAAGACTTGAATGCATGGTTTGTCTCTCTGCTCCTGGGCAGTATTGCCCTCCGGTGTATGTGAGCTGGCACAAATCCTGGCCTCTTTCCTATCCTTGTGATTCTCTGCACAAAGGAGGCAGTGTGGTTACGGCCTCAGAGTCAAAAGACCCGGCTTGCCTTGCCAGCTCCTTGCTCTGTGACTCTGGACAGGTTGTTTAATCACTGGGTGCATTTCTCTCCTCATCCATAAAGTAAGAATTACTTAGCTCATACAGTACTCTAGGATGCTTTAACACGCAGCTCTGTATAGATGCAAAGGATTATCATCATCAGAGTGCTTGCCTTAAGATTTTTCATCTCCTGTGCAGTGAGGCCGTGTTTTAATCCTAGCGCATGCAAGACCATTAAAGTTTATACTCCCTTCTCATTCTGGAGACTCCCTCGCAGCTTTCCATTTAGCAGCTGTTATCGTGCCAGTAGTGCTAGCAGTCACTCTCCTCCCAAATTGCATCACGCGAGGTAAGGGATGCTCTAGCTGTTGTGTCAAAGGTGCTGACCTCTTTCCTACAGCTCATCCACGTTCCTCCTTGCAGGTCATTCTCTTGCCCATCTCATACGATGCATGGCAGCATGCCTGTAGGATCTCTTCGAAGAAGGGCTGCCTGTGTGCATGTGTGTGCATGTATGCATACATGTGTGTAGAAGGGCATGCTGCTGCTTCCATTGCCTGTGGTCAGATAGTTGTTTCTCTGCCCCTCTGAAGTGACTTTCTTTTTTCTCTTTTTTTTTTTTTTATATCTTTTCTTCCTCTTTTCAGTTATGGCAGGGTGTACACAGCAGATCCTTACCATGCCCTTGCCCCTGCCGCTAGCTACGGAGTTGGCGCTGTGGTAAGTGGGATTTTCTTTCTTGTGCTGTTTCTCATTCCCAGCATGGGGATAGCTCTGTTCAGTGGGTATCAGGTAATGAAACTTCACCCAGAAGAACTTCTTTGTTGAGGGAGGAGGTCCTTAGCTGCAGTGCTGGGTTCCCAGTTGTTCTGTGTTCATATGTTTGTGTGTATGCACAAGGAAATGAGCCAAGTTGTAGGAGACCAGTTATCACTTGGTCTTGCACATCATGTAGTACAAAGGACATGGTAGAAGACTGGCCAGAATGTCAGGAGCCAGAACATTATTGATGTATCAGTTGAAGTGTATCAAGGTGATATATAGAGCAAAAATCAGCAGTGGTTACAGATGCAAGACACCCTTTATTGCTATTTTCATTAACTTTAAAGGCTCATGTTGCATGTTGAGAAGCCAGTTCTAGGAAGTCAAGGGAATAAGTTGTTCTCGTGACATCTTGCAGCAAAGCTGCTCCACTTGGTTCCCCTCTTCCAGTAGTGGAAGGACGCCACTGCTGCCAGCAGTAGTTATGCAAGGACAGGAATGAGGGATGCTGGCATCGGAGGGGAGTGGAGCAGCTTGCTGAAAACACATGCTTGCCCATCTGCTCTAGCCAGCACAGTATCTGTGTTGTTGCAAAGGCTGGAATACAAATGTGTTCAGAGAAAAAGACACCTAAATATAGATACCTGCAGTGTAGCACCTCCATTTGAGCCTCAGCTCATCATGTGGATTCTCTTCAGGGTCGATGAAGGAAAAGCAGGTACTTCTAGGATACCAGGTCATCGTGTCTATTTTAGACCTTTACCTTCAGGTGAGGTGAAGAGCATCCTAGAAGTCCTGGTTTCTGCTATCTATAAAGACAGCCTGGACAACTGTCTCAGAGATTGGGACTCATAAGTCACATCTCTGGTAACAAACTCGCTTTGACCAAGACTTGCCAAAATTCACCTCCAGCTGGCTGGTTGTGAGCATGTCCTCCTGAGCCATGTCTTTGGTATTGCAGGCAAAGTTCTCCTCTTTTACTCCAGGTGCTGATGGTGGCGGGTCAGTGCCAGGACATGTCTGTTAGTTCTTCTGAGAGCATTCGGGTGCTGTCCTGAGTATTTCTTCACAGTTCACCTCCTAACAACCTCTTCTCTCATTTAATTTCTACAGGCGAGTTTATACCGAGGTGGCTACAGCCGATTTGCCCCCTACTGAAGTGACGTGAGCCCCCTGCAAGTGGGACAGCCCCCCCAGTTCATGAGGCCTGGCTATTGCAATATTTACTAGTAGAGGAACTCTATAGCAAGACGAGGAGGAAAAACAAAAAACAAAAGAGAAAATACTTTTTTATACCTCACTATGTTCTTTGAATATGTATTTTTTTTCCTTTAAATTTCTGCCTTTAATTCTTTTGTTCCAAAGATTGTGCATTTTTTTGGTTTTTTTTGTTTTCGTTTTTGGGGGTTTTTTTAACTGTGGTAAAAATAATGCATTTCCGTGTCTGTATGTTGGTGCATAGCTTATCCTACCAATCACGGAAAAGGCGATTAGTGATAAGGAAAGCTGTTAGAAACCGATATCATGCAATTAATCAGGAACATGCAGACAGAGTTACTTCCCTGGGTCTGGTGCTCAGTGTCTGTGAGACGGGAGGATGTGAGGGAGAAGTCTCTACCTGCCGTGTTTCTCGTCTGCAGAAGGAAGCACACTGTGGCTGGGACCTTAATGCGGTGGGAAATAGTCACTTATATTTGAAAATGGGGGAAATGCAGAGACTTTCCTCGGTTTTTATCACCATCTGACGTGCACAGGTTTGGGACAGTTTCAGCAGTGTCAGGAATTTAGATTTGGCAAGAGAAGATTTCGTCAACCTGCCCAAAGACCGGCTGTTATCTGCTGTATAGGGGACGAGACTTTGAAAGGAGTTGTTGATGAGGATGATCTTTCCCCACCCCACACACTCTAGCTGATTGTTGTCCGTTGCTGGTGGCTGTAATTATCTCCATTTTCCTTCCTCCTTTTCAAGATCTTTTTCCCTTGCTGTCTCTTTCCTCCCCTTCTTTCCTTGAGGAGTGGCAGATGCGATGCAGCATCACACAGAGTAGCTCTGTTGCAGACAGCAAGTGGTTAAACTTGTGGAGGTGCAGCCCATGCAACCTTGCAGAGCAAGAAAGCTAGTAGAAGAACCATGCATCAGTGCCCTGCTTGGGCATTCTGAGGTCCAGCATGCGAGGTCTCTCCTCCTCTTCATCCTGAGCTGCTTAGGCACTTCTGCAAGTAATCCATTTCAAATAACGTGAGTGAGGAAAAACAAGTCGTGTCTAAGCTGCTTGAGGCAAGGGGCAAGCGTGTGGGTTTGTGTGGGGGAAGAGGGTCCTTTATATCTAAACATGATCCTGAAGTAGTTTTGTTTCAGTCAGGAGTTTAAGAGGAGGCAGAAGCGTTTGTGCAAGCTCTGAATTCATAGGAACTTCCCACCACAAGCTATTTCAGGCCCTTACATAGTTGCGCTGGAGCCCCTGGGTCTGTTTTGCCCAGCCTCTCATAGAAAGTTGTGCACCTGGTCTGCTGAGTCCGTATAGACACTACGTATTAGAAGATTTGGAAGCAGAGAGACTATTTAGGGGAGGGCTCCATGACTCCCAAGACCATTTCCCTTCTGCTCTCACGTACAGTCATTTCGCTGTGTTTCAAAGCCTGCATTTTTAGATGACTGACTGAGCTGTGCTGTGATGGGGAGTTGCTGCTCTCCAGACCTTCCCGCTCAGCTGCTGACTCCTAGGGTGCTCCCAGTGCTCAGCAGCAGGGTCTCTAACCACGTGTCAGAGAAATGCAGAAGCGCGGTTTTATGAGGCTGCCTCGTCTCCCTCGATTGATACTGGGGTGAGTTCGCCCCCAGAAGGGCTGCGTGGGGTGTGCGTTTGTTGGTGGAGCCTCTCCAACTCCTGTTGTACACCTGCTTCTCCATCCGCTGCTGATACCAGAATAGGAAACCTCCTGCATTTAACACTAATGATGTCAACAAGCAGAGCTCTTGGGGAGGTGTCCTGACCCAGCCACACAACACCATGCTTTTTTTTTTTTTTTTTTTTTTTGCTGCTCCCCAGTGATACACGGAGCCTCTCTGTGCGTAGCGGAGGGGAGGCACCTCAAATGGGAAGGATGGGGAAGCCATTAGTTAAGCTAGAGACCCTGAAGCTATTGATTCTCTGGAGGAATAGCTAGATAAAGGGGACACCAAACTGCCAGCCTGTTGGCCACCTTTTATTGTTTGTTTGGTTTTTTTTTTTCTTCTGGTTTTATTGTTGGTTTTTAACTTTTTTTTTTTCCAAGCCAAAGTTTGGTTTGTTGCTGTTATGACAATTTTTTGTTGTTTGTATATAAATATTTTAGTTAGCTTGAAAATGGGGGGGAACAGGGTGTTGGGGCTTTCACAAAATCTAGGAAATGAGGGGGACTTGGGGCTTTTTACTGTCTGAGTTGGGATAGGGGAGGGAGGACTTGTGGTAGAAATAGTCATATTCAAGGGGAGCCATTTCCACTGCAGGGCAGCCAGGAGACTTCTGGAGCTGAGACGCAGCAAAAGCCTCTACTGGACTTGTTCTACTTGCCTGTGGGGCAGAGGGGCTGAGTGAGGCCGTCCTTTCCCTTGCCCGCAGGCAGTTCCTCATGCAGCAGGTCTGCAGGCTGCGAGCAAGAGGAGCGCAGCTTGCAGAGCCCAGCGGGGGCAGCTCCTTGCCCCTCTTGCCCATTTTCCTACCTTTCAGTTCAGCTGGTTCTGACTGCAGCTCCCGAAAAGCTGGGCTCTCCCTCCCCGAATGCCCTCCCCTGCCCTGGCAGTGCCGCCTGCAATCCCCCCCCTTCCCTGCCACTTGGCCCTCTGGAGTAGAGAGGCCAGCCCTGTTTCTGCCTCTGAGCAGAGTCTATGCATGGCAGCTTCAGCCCGCCCAAGTATATTAGGAGTGTGAGGAGTTCAGTGCAGAAGCGCCCAACCTTTGCGGGGCCGTAGTCCCCTGCTGTATGATCTCCGAGTAATACCTGTTCTAGACCATCCAGCCTGATTCCTCCTGTATTCAAGCCCGGCCTGCTCTGGTTGCTTCTTGCCAGGCTCCTCCGGTGCATTAACCAGCCGGTGTCTCCTTGACTCCAAAGTTAATGCTGCAAGATCCCCGCTGAGGCAACTTGCCGATAGCCCGGCTTCCTGCTCTCAGCAGTGAGCTGCAGAGGGGATGCCAGGACGCTTGCGTGGCTGGGGGCCGGAGGTAGCTTGCTGGTTCTGGGTCTCCGGAGCACCAGACCTCCCAAAAACTTGCAAGCCAGCTGGAATTTTGCAGCGAGGTTTCTCAAGTGAGCGTTGTGCCATGACGGGACAGCTCTTCAGCCTTCCTTCTCTCTTGGCAAACAACAGCTCTGGTTTCACTCAGATGTGTTATGAACTGGCTTGATATGCATTCAGAGTAGCCAAGCTGTGGCTATATCCATCTTCTGAAGAAGCTGAGGACAAAGCCTATATCTCCCTATGCAAAAAGACTTACACTTAATGAATTAAACTGGGCCCTGGCTTATTTTACCGACGGCAGCTAGTGCTAGTCCCCGAGGTGGGTCTGCAGTCACAGGTCCCTTGCAAAGCAGGGCTTGGCTTTCCAGGGGAAACCACACAGGCAGCCTGGCAAATAGCTTGCTGTTTGTCAACTTCTAGTCTGGTGGCATCCGGGATTCCTCTTGATGTAGAGGAAAAGATGTTTCTTTAAGTGTTGCTGTTTGTACTGTCTTGCAATAGGTCTGGCCAGCACATGATATTATACTGATAAAATTTTGGATTGAAGATTTGATTTATTTAATGTGCAGGTCTATCTTTCCTTGTGGGTACAGTCATGCAGGTACAAAGATGAATTGTACTGGTATAGCGTATTCTCTACTGGGAATAAGTTATATTGATGCCCAGCATGTTAACAAACTGTTGTCACTGTCCCCGTGCTAGGGAAGCTGCGCTCTTGTTGGTGGGTTAGCTTTTCTAAGAAAAGCCGTGACAAGACCTGGAGACAACGGGGAGGTCAGTATGAGCCTGCTAGAGCCAGCTATTCCCAGGTTAAGCAGTTGCGTGGATCCTGTGTCATGAGTTCAGATAGACAAAGCCATATTTTAAAATAGCTGTGGCTTGGCTGTTCCAGTGCCCGAGGGAGAGCCGACTTGCCCAGCGAGAAAGAGCGCTAGCTCAGGAGTCCGAGACCTGTGTTTTGGGCAGGGCTCTGTCAGTGATCTTCAAGGGTCATCGTGGAGCAGTCGTGTTGCTACTCCAGACTTGTTGCTTCCCCGTCCCTAAAGTGAAGGTAATAGTTTATCCCCTGTTCTCACCCATTTTGAGATCTGTGGATGTGAAGTGCACGGCAAGAGCTGAGGAGGGTTATCTGGATAGCTGGCTCGAGTGCTAGTTGTGAAACAGTTAATGGAACCATTTCCTTGCCTGAAGAGAGATTGCTGGCTGCTGGGGTTTCAATTCCAGCACCCAGAGCTTTGGCAGCGGGGAATAAAAGCAGAGCCTCCCAGTTCCTACCCATGTTTTTCCCCAACCCATCCCTATCTGTATCTTCCCATCCCGGCCCCAAAGGAGGAGGCAAGCGGAGAACAGGTTTGGGGAGCACTTAGGAATTCAATAAAGGGAAAAACCAAACACAACAGCTCTGGGGAGCGCTTTTGCTGAGTCTAGCTCCAAAGGGAAAGCACGCGGCAGCGTGGCAGGCAGCCTGCTGCCTGTGGCCCTCCAGCTTGGCAGGGTCTGGGGAATGCTGTCCTTGGTGCAGAGGGGTGATTTTTAAAGTGTGTTACCTGTTTGCACTGTTCTAAAATAGGAGGGGGAGGGGAAAAACAAACCCAACCTAGTGAACAAGATGAACATCCAATGTAAACTTTTTTGTGTTTTTATTTTGTCATGCTCTTGGAAAATGTCAAACATTTTGTAGTATGCACAGGTGAGACTTGATTCTTTGTTGCATAAAACACTATTTTTGGTGATGTTAATGTCTGAAAAGCCCCTTCCCTCCACCCCCACCTTACTGATTGCCCTCTCCACCCTCCAACCCCGGTAAACTTCTCTTCTACGATGAAAAATCCAGTCAACAAGGCAAGCAGGAGTCTGATAGCCAGAGCGTGAAATGGGGCCCTTTTCAAGTAGGCTCTGGGGTTTCTCCCCGGTACGCTTTCCTCTAGCCAGGACTTGGCAGGATGGTCCCCGTCCCTCTGCAGTGCACAGCGATGGCAGCCTCAGCGGGACTTGGGATGGCCAAGTCCCGTCTCCGTTGCCGCTGCTAACCCTGGAAGGCAACTTGTTGCCCATGGCTGAAAGCGCAGCCAGCGGTTGTCCTCCCTGGGTAGTGGGCTGCAGCTGGTCCAGGCTTGTGCAGGAGACAAGCTTCCCACG